TATTTATATAAATATATATTTTTTGAATTTTACTATCTGGCTATAAGAATAAGCCAGTTTACAAATTAAGTGTTGTAATTTTAGACTAAACTTTATAATCCACTTGGTACATCATAAAATGAATGTTCAAATTTTAAAAATTTAATTTTATCATATAAGCATTTAATAATTTGGCGCAGTCAGTAGTACACGCCCTCAAGATATATACGGATAGCGGAAAATTCGAGAAATAGGTATTGACAACAGCAACAAGTTTTCCTTCATTAACCTGCGTTAGTTTATAGTGGGTAAAAAGTTGAAATTAAATTTTCACATTAATATTTGATATTAACTACTGCTAAATATCAAAATGTCTCATATATAGCTTTTCCCCGCGGTTTCGCTCGCAGAAATTAATATTGTTTCTCCATAAAACCTTTTAACTCCCAATTCACCCTTACAACGTTTTCATTGTATGTAATGTCGTCATCTTAGATTTCAAATACAAACGTAACGACAACATTTCATCCTAAGGGGTTGATTTTTAAAAATTGCCAAAACACGTATTTGCTTAATTTCAACATTGAGTAACTTTCAGGTAAATCCGAGTACAAATAAAATATACTCCATGGAAACGTTGCGTCATTTGATTAATATTATCAAACAGCACATATATCAAGTTTCAAGTAAATTCAACCACAAATAAAGTATGTCCCAAACAAAAATTGAAACACCTTTTAACCCCCCCCCCCTTTGGAAGTTGAATATTTTAAAATGTCGAGATAGGTCTTTCAGAAATTAAATGACAGACCATTAAAAAAATCTGACCACAAATAATATATGTTCCATTTAAACATTGCAACTCCTCATCACCACTCCTCTCCCCCAAGGGAACGGGATAAGAAAAGATCCCATGTCCGTCTCCTGGTTCTAGGGTACCTCCCCACCAATTTTCAGCCAAATGGGTTCAGCCGTTTTTGAGTTATANTTTCATGTAAATAGATTCCGTTCATGCAGATCTAGCAGCAGCTACGTACGGAAAGTCAAATGGTCATAAACAAGACATGAAAATGCATGGTCAGATGGCATCGGGAAACTGCGTGTATTCCAAGTCACTAATACCCGGGCCACATCAGAAATCCGTTTATAAGGTACAAGCAGTAAACGGCACCAGCATAACTACCTAATATGGAACTGTCGTTTTGTCTCTCTACTTGGGCATACTAAGACGTTTCCCCTGACGTTTTATCGTTGCTAACTTTTCAAAACCCATCACTGGTACCGATTTCCTGACACTATCAGTTACTAGTGGAGCTATCCAAGCGGCGACGCCTGGATCAACTCACCCAGCCCTTACCACGTTTGGTCAGGCGACTGGCTACAGCTTTGCTTCAGTTACATTTACCTCGGACACCACATCCGCTTCGCCTGTGTACCATGATTTATCATACTTCATCAGTTTCCATCATTATTACGATCCAGCGGTCTAGTCATTTTTCCCAAACATTCACTATACAATTTCCAAACCAGCGCAAACCCATATCCACGAGTGCGTTTTCCGCAGTAAGGTGATCAACACTTTGGAAGCATATTGTATAGTTAACTTTATCAAGTTAATATTATCAACTTCTGGATGTAAGCTTCGACTTAATTCTGCTGGGGTTGGATGTGGGACTAATTTTATTTTGATAATAATCTAAATTGATCTGAGTTTGGGATAGGACCTCTATCCGTGTTCATGAGATTGTCTTTTTTTCTGAATATTTCGTAAACATGTAAAAGGAAAGGATTATCAAATTGACACTGTAAAGGTGTAGAGAACCTTTTTAATTTCTTCATTTCTTGTAATAGTTTTAGTAACTGTAATAATTATAAATCGTTCCACGTGGACCAAAATTAATTGTGTATAAAAATGAATTAGATGTAGGTACGTATGTCACAAGGTCAGACATATATAATGTTGCATAATATAAGGTTTATCTGGAGACACGTTGTGAAGATTTATCAGGACAAAAATTTAAAAAAAAATACCTACAAAAAAGTATGAAATACGCGGTAGCAATTGACACGTGTAACATGCAAAAAATCAACGATTTATAACTCAAAAATGCACAGAATGATACCAAATAAAAAATGTACAATTAGAAAGTACACTTATTAGATCTATCGATCTCGAAAAGCTTATTAAAATTAGGGCAACCTTTCCCATACAATACAAGCAGAGAGTAATTTATTAACACTCACAGTTACTCTTAGTTATTAGTAATTGCGATAAACTGTTTTAATACTATTTTCGTAGGGTGTCGTGTTCCTATATTATATTATAGTTTAGGCATTCCGTTGCTGTACGGTATCGTAATCATAATAAGAAAAAGGCGAGATAGGTTGGTAGGACACCTTCTCAGGCATAAAGGTCTAGTCAGAGACATATTAGATCGAAAAACCCCAGTTAAGAGGAGTAGAGGTAAACCTAGATTAGATTACTGTTCGCTAATTGTTAAGGATGTGGGATGTTCGAGTTTTAGGTGATGCGAAGATTAGCTCAGGATAGGAAATTGTGGAGGTGCGTGTCCAACCAGTCTTAGGACTGACGACGTTATGATGATGATAGAGAAATATCTGTGATACATTCTACCTGCTTTCTAATCAATCAATTCCTTGTTCTGTTTGGAGCAAAATAAAAAGTTATTAAGGGCACAAATAAAACATATATCTCGGGGATATAGTTAAATGATCGAGCACCTCAATCATCCACTCTATCAGAACCACCTCATTCAAGGGTCATACCGCTACAATAACTATAGTGCCTCCACTTGGTCCCATTTTGATAAAAACGCTGTGAAAGTCCAAGGAAGCTTTTGATTTGATGTACATCAATAGGTACTTATCACTTCTGCAGTGCTCTGATTGTTCGTGGTAAACTGAAACACCGGCCCTTGAAGCTACATGCCCCACGTAGACTCTTGAAACAAGTAATGTTTCTTACTGCTCAGTTTTCGACTCACCCTCCGAAGTCTTTCTCAAAATTTTTCATGTTGTCGCTGGTTTTCCGATTATAAATGATTATGTCAACGTGCTGTACTAGACGATTCTTCCAAGTCAAGCCATTCGACCCACAGTCTCCATGATATGGCTTGGATAAATCGATCACCGATCAGATTACCTCAAACTCTTATACTCCTGTTTGAATGGAGAATTGCATCTTTTCTTTGGCTCTAGGATACGATTGCAAAAATTCTCATTTACAGTTCATTATAGACCCAGTGAAAGAATGAAACATGTTGATTCTTTAAGCTTATGCTTAAACACCTGCGAAGAAGTTTTGAAAATTAAGCAAACCGATAACAGATGATAACATCATGTATACATACAGGTAAAGCTTTAAAAGATGGCAAAATATATAAAATTACAGTTTCAATTTTATTACGGGTAATTCCCCAAGTAGCAGATGGGAATCTACAACGACCTGACTACTATTAGTTGATCAATTTCCTTTGTGAAAAATACATGGAAAGATATATAAGGTGTTTCTGAAATAAGTAGTAAGCTTGCAGGAGATGATAGAGCACTACAAAATAAGAAAATTAAGTAAATGTTTAAATTTTCGGTTGTTTTTTTTTTCGTTTACTATGCCGCCCCCATTCCCTTACTCGTTTTCCTTGACTTGTAGAATGTTACAAATTGGTGTGTAATACAACATAGAGCATTAAGCACTTTGAATTGAAACCATATAAAGACATTATATCAAAATTAATAATAAGTAAATAAAATAAAAATACAAAAAATTTATAAAAAGGCTTATTATTGAAGAATAAATTTTTATTGTCGTTTCCTTGTTTACAGGTCGTATGTAACTTTAAAAACATGCCTAAATATTGTCTTATTGTTATGTTTATGTTTCCTTCACAAAAGGACCTCTATTTAGTACAATTTAGACAAAAGATGCTCTTCACATTACCCCTATCTGTTTATGGTACCTATCATTCCGACTGAAGAGGACCTTCGTTAGTCCTAGAATCGTCTGAAGTTGAGGTTTTAATCGGTAGGTCCGAGGACACTTTCCTCGGGAATCTAACACTACGCAGTCGTACGAGCGCATGGGTACCTTTTGAAGATTTCTCCTCTTCAACGAAAAAAAAACTGAATTGATATAGCTGTATATAACTCCATATTCCGTATCTTCTTCTAAAGTTTTTAAATAGCAGTTGTAAAAATTTTGCTTTAAATAAAATGGAAGCGATATTGGCAAATTAGTACTGTATGAAAATAAAGTAAAAGAAAATACTGGTATACAAGGGAAGAAAAGTAGGGAAAGAGCGAATATAAAGATAGGAGACGTAAAATTAGAAGATGTCAGATAAGTCATGACGGAAGGAGTAGTTGGGATATAAAGCAGAGGATAGCGCAGGGTCGAGTCGCCTTGAATGTTTGGAGCGCGGCGTTGTACGGATGCGAAACATGGGCGGTGGGCGCGGCGGAAAAGAAGAGGTTAGAAGCATTCGAAATGTGGTGTTACCGGCGAATGATGAGGATACTGTGGATACAGAAGTTTAGAAATGAAGATATACTAGAAAGAATAAGAGAACAAAAGAAGTTAATAAGAAATAGGCGAGATAGGTTAGTAGGACCTTCTCAGGCATGAAGATCTAGTCAGAGACATATTGGAGGCAGAAACGAGAGTAGAGATAGACCCAGATTAGATTACTGTTAGCAAATAGTTAAGAATAAGGGATGTTCTAGTTTTAGGGTAATGTGAAGATTAGCTCAGGATAGGAAAGAGTGGAGGTGCGTGTCCAACCAGTCCTAGGACTGACGACCTTGTGATAATAAATTGTAAAAACTGTACAATGACGAAACTTTGCCACTCAATGAACGTCCCACCTGCGTATGGTGCACGCCTTACACGTCCGTTACGGCGGACTGATGACATTTAGAGCTACTCAGGGTAAAATTGAGTCAAAAGTACACTCTGAAATGTTGATGTATAAAAATTAATTAGGTAAAATTGACAATGTCATATACTAACACAGTTGTATCTGTAGACACGTGCACGTGTAAACTGTAAATTATTATCAGAATGAAAATTTAAAAAATACCACAAAAAAGTTTGAAGGACACGCCAGCAGTTGGCACGTGTAGGGTAGAAAATTCCAACGATTTAATATAATACAAAAACGCACATGATGATGTCATATAGATATAATAAACAAAAAAATGAGTGTGGATTTATGAACACACGACAGAAGTGAAAACCACTAATTTTCCAATTTTAAACTATATATATATCTATATAATTAGATTTATGTTATGTAATGGATTAGTTTGGTGACTCAGCAACAAGATAATATTGATATTGTTACATAAAATTATTTATTCTTATCTCAGCACCCGTAAAGTAGTGTTAGTTACAAAACAGTTATATTTGTGAATTATTATATTAAAATACTATACTGATTACATGCAAAACGTGCCTGATAACGACTGAAGCCGAGTACCTATACATGATTTAGTGCTCCACCAATTCTAGCACGCTCAAATATCGAGTGGGCCGAGTAAATCCGACTCAGCGTCACAGACCCAAGCATAACGGTTAACTTACGTTCACTTCTAAGCAATAAACTAACGAAGTTTTCACTTCAATATTTTTTTTACTCTTACCGACCACGAAAACATTGAAATTAGGACAATATTTCATATAGAAAACTAACACAAACGACGAAGCCACCCCCTAACACACTCACATGTACTTTTAATTTTAAAAAGTAATAAATTTTGGATGTTAATAATTATAATACTGGTAGAAACAATTTTTTCATTATTATGTGCATTTAAAATACCTAATAATCTACGAAGTTAAACTCGCGCTGTCTGGCTGTTGTCTGTGAAAATTTCTTCCCGAAGTTTCGTCCGCCGAACGACCTTTAAGAGAATTTCGACCGAGATGACCACTACGCTACCCTTGAGAAGTCAGCTACAGTTGCCGGCTAAACATCAGGAAGAATGATCGGAAAACCCGAGTTTAGCTACGCACACTAGTGTTGCACAAATCTCCGCTTCCACTTCCGTAATTACAGAAGTTCCGCATACATTTTCACATGCACTTCTGCATTTTTGTAACGGAGGCTTATCGGAACTTACGAAAATGTTATTTCTCATCTTTTTGTAAATCAATATATCGGAACAATAAAACAAATCGTAAAAAATTATTAGATACATTTATTTGTTGACTGAACATGACTGTTTACAAAACACAATTTAAAATTTAAATAGAATTGCAGTGTTGTAAATTTTAAGTTTAAATGCAATTTTGAAGCCAAAAAGGAGTTCCATTTGGGATTATTTTGTTGATATTAACGATGCAAGTGTTGAATGCAAAATTTGTAACAAACTATTCGCAGAAAGTGCGCACAACCAAATTAGAGAATCACCTAAAATCATTACACTTCCGCTTTCGCCTCCGCTTCCGCAAAAATTTACTATTTATTTGTGTTTCCGTTATGACACTTCTCTTGCATCGCTAACGCACATTACAGACGATGCGACGAGCATGAATGCCTGCACAGATACTTTAAAATAAATAAAACACAGTAGTCATTTTCTATCCACATCCTCCTGTAACACCACATCCTGAACACTTCTAAACTGTTCTTTTCCGCAACGCCTATCCTTCCCTTTTTCCACCCATACACAGCCGTGCTCCAAATATATTTTTTTATATNTCAAATCGGTTAAAGACAACTGGCTGAGCGAACCACCACTATTGCATTTATTTACCTCCCTTAAGTGACAGCTACTTCTTGAAATAGCGGCTCTGTTATAGGTACTCTGTTATATAGACGTTGGAAAATTAGGAGAGTCTAAATAAATCCCACGAAACGCTGCCTGTTGAATGATTTAATGTTTACTTTAATGAATATTAATTATTTATTGGACAAAACTAAAATATGATAAAGTAAATTATCAACAATTTTGAAGGGGCAAAGAGATAGTTACGATTGAGGTTGGCTGGTGTTGGAAGATAGATAACTCCTAAGTCATTCTGGGCTGGTTGATTATTATAATTTTCATGTTGTTTGAACGTTGTGCTGGAAATGCGTTGTTGTGTCGGTTCAGATTGACGAACGTTATGCGCTCCAAGTATCACTTGTGCTGATATAAGTCTAATAAAAAAATAAAAAAGTAAATTCAATGAAGATTACAATAAAGAGCGAATGTCTTACCCGTCCGTCAAACAATGTGCGGCTGTTAACACGTATCTTTTGGTGATAAGAGATCCACCACAGAAATACCCCCCTTTATTGTGATTAAGTATCAAAGCGACCTAAATCAATAACAATAGTATAATGCATGTAAACAAACAGTTACACTTGATAGAACAGACATTCAGCTGAGGGTGAATGGTTAAGAGAAGAGCATGTTGTTTTGAACTCTAGTATGTTTTTTCAAAAATTATTTATTTATTCACGAATTTCTATTTTGCCCCCTTCAAAATAACCCCATCAGATATTATACACTTGTTCCGACGTTTTTTCAATCCTTGCTTTTGGCCAAACATTCGCGCACAAGCAATGATGTTTAAGCAGGGGCGTTTTCATGGTGCAAAAATGCAATTTTTGTCCTTCCACAAACCTAAGCGTTTGTAGTGGATTTGTTCGCCCAAAGTGCACATAACTTACAGTTAATATTCTGCCCTGTGGCAAGAACTCATGATGCACCACGCCCGCAGGGGGTAGAAAACTAAGTAAAACCTTCACATTCAACCTAACTTGGCGCGTTTCTTTCGGTCTTGGCTAGTGCGGCAGTTTCCATTAGGATAATTGAGCTTTGGTTTCCACGTCATAACCATAAACCCATGATTCGACACCAATTATGACACTCTGAAGTAAATTTGGGTCATCGCGGGCAGAATCCAACAGCTCCTTAGCAATGTTAATGCGAGCTGCTTTTGGTCGAAACTGAGCATGAGCAATTTTGGTACGATTTTCACGGCAACCCGTCTCATGCCCTATCAGCAACTATTGGTAAAAATCGAATGACAGGGGCTAATCGATGTGTTTAGGTCCTCAGCAGCTTCTCTAACAGTGATTCGACGATTGAACAATAATTTTTTCTTGACTTTATCAATGTTTTCGTCTGTTGTTGAGGTGCTCGGGCGTACAACACACTCTTCGTCGTTCACATCATCTCGGCCCTCTGAGAACATTTTGTACCACCGATAAACGTTGCTTCCGTCCAAAATAGCTTCCTCATATGCCACAGTCAGCATTCGGATGCGACCGCGCACTTAATTTTGTTTTTCACACAAAATTTGATTTTTGGAATAGGCAAAAATTGAAGTGCAAGCAAAGCAGCTGTCAAAAATTAACTGAACTTTCGACATGGGCAAACTTGCCAGTATAAGTGAGAGGCATGAGAACCAACATGACGCCACAAAAAAATCGAAAATCGAATATACGTAACGCCTTGCAAATTCAAAATTCGTCATACTTTTTGAATACGCCTCGTACATCATCGATTAACCCCCAATATCTTGATCAAATTTCACACATTCCAACTATTTTCAATGCTTACTTGGTATGGTAAAGAGTTTCGTGCAGCTTCATTACCTCCCACGATCTTTACTTCTTCAGAGGATGCAAACAAATCGGGTACTGCGGGAGCCGGTATAATATTAGACCAATCCCTAGTTACGTGAGCCTGTAAAAATCTTAAAAAATAAGTAATTTTTTTCGTAAATTATTAAAAGTGTAAACTTAATGGTAAATTGGGTCACTTCAATAATTTCCGAATGTGATGTCTGTAATTAAAGATAATCACTATTTATTGAATAAAATATATGCGTACACATTTATGGCTGGGGTTCAAATGGTCATAAGATCAGGTAAAAGTTGTTAATTTGTTTGACTTAAAGAACGTATTTCTGTTTACTTCAAAATTGAAACAGGAAAAAATCGGAATATTTGAAAATAAATATGATGTTCAGTTTTACTTACTACTACATTCATGAGTTAAATAATAATATATAGAAAAAGGTAGAATGCCACCGAACAAAATGCATAATTGATCTAAATTTCCAAAATAATATCACTGCTTTACCGTAACTAAGGAAAATATAATGAAAATTAAGCCAATTTCCCGCATCTCTGCTTGTCACACTGATACTGCAATAGAGCTTGTTAGAAAATTATTTTATAAGACTATCTTTAAAGTGCTTCTGTTGATAAAATTCTTGTTATGCCTTTCGTTGAAGCTCCATAAGTACGATAAACGATATATTTTAAAATCTGTTAGACATACTTGTATTTGGTTGCTCTACTCGAATACTCATAGAATATTTGTAATTGTATTTGAATTACTTTTCATTGAAAACATTTTATTAATTATTTGTATTTAAATACAAATTATTCTTTATATTATTTGTTTTTGCAAATGTTTTTTCAAATGCTTGTGATAATCCTTTTTTATTCATAAAAAATTTATAAACAATTGAAATAAACAGAACATAGGTAGGTATGATTATGTCTAACTTATTCAGAAAGTTGTTTTAATAATTATAATAATACAAATACATTCTCTTATGGAAAATCGCAGGCTAAGTA